GCTTGCCACTACTAACGGAGTCTCGGTTGAGACTCAATCCTTAAATCTTTTTGACTCTTTTAGAAGATTGAACCCATCTCAGCGTTCTTACACATGGTTTAGGAAAAACCTAGCCAGAATGGTTACCAAGTCCCATATATACCTGATCTTACTTTCAAAGGAGTTGGAAGGGGCGCTTCAGGTAGCTGAAAATTTTCCTAAGAGCCCTCTCCTGGGTCCAAACCATGCGATGTGTGTGGTGATTCTTTCATTTGGAAAGAAGCAGGATCAAGGTAGAAGGTACTATAAACTTAACACTGCTCACCTTAAAATAAAGACGTTTAGATCGTTTCTTAAGGATGTGTGGTCCTTCTGGAGAGAACAGAGGGCAAGATGACATCAAGTGTCTCAACAACAGCCTAGTTTTTCTGGGTCGTAAATGCAATGAATATTCCAAGTTATTAGCAGTTGAACGTCATTCTTCAGAAACAAGATTACATCAGCGTATTCAGCAATCACGGCAATTAGAAGTTGATGATAGTGAAATGGTAAGGAATGAAGCGACAACCCAAGAAATACAAGAATTAGAATCTCAATTATTCTCTCGCATGGAGTATCGATGGCATGGTATGAGGATTCGAGGCAGAATTGAGAAACATCACACGGAGGGGTCCATGGATGCAAGGTTTTTTGCTATGGCAAGAGCCCGTACTGGAAGAGCAATCATTGAGGCTTTGGCCCATCCTCATAATCTGAATGGTCCTGTTGTCACCTCTACGACTGAGTGCACTAAAATTGGGAAGGATTTTTTTTAAGGATTTTTTTTCTTCTGAGAATAGTGATATTCCTTTGATTCAGCGTAGCATGGAGATAGACGAATTCCTCACTCCTTTGACTAGAGCTCTATCAGACGTCCAGAAGGAACAATTAGACTTTCCAGTAACTAAAGATGAAGTATGGACTGCTCTAATGCTTATGGAGGAAGAAAAGACTCCTAGCATTGATGGTTTACCAGAAGAATATTGGGAGTCCATGTGGGACTTCATCTCCCAAGATCTCATGAATTTTTATCAAGAAGTATGGATGTCAGGCCAGATGGGGGAGTTTGTGGGTTAAGGTGTTTTGACATTGTTATATATGAAAGGAGACAAATGGAATATTATGAATTATCGTCCCATTACTCTGTTAACAGTAGTATACAAGTTGATCTCTAAGGTCCTTACTAATAGGCTGAACAAGTATATTGCAAATATAATACACCCCTCCCAAATTGGGTTCATTCAAGGAAGGAATATTCAGGACAATATCCTGCTTGTTAATGAATTTATCAAGCTCTCTCGTCAGTCCAAGCATAATGTTGTCTTTATTTTCATTGATTTTGAAAAAGCCTATGATCACGTTGATTGTTTTCTTTTAGATAATGTTTAGAAAAATTCAATTTTGGTCCACTCTTTAGAAGATGTATTAGAATCTTGCATAGAAATGCTACCACAAGGGTTATGATTAATGGTAATGTGACACCCCCCATTGTTCTTCAGAGATCAGTGAGACAAGCTGACCCTATTGCTCCGCTCCTCTTTGTGATCATCATGGAAGCTTTAGCAGCTAATTTAAGACATCACAAAGACATTAGTCGTATCCGGATTTCTTCTATCCCAGAGGAAGCTATCCCAGTATGCTCTCTCTTTGCAGACGATCTCTCTCTAATGGTCGAGGCTTCACAAGCAAATTTAGATGCAATTAAGAGAATTATGGACACTTTCTGCAAACTTTCTGATATGAGGGTAAACTGGGGTAATAAAACTTTGGGCTGGTGGATTCATTATCAAGGTGTGAGGCCCCTTGAGCATCCCCTGATTAAATGGATGCAGACAGACGTATCAATTAGAGTACTAAGGGTTTCCCTTTCGGCTACAGGCAAAACATTAACCAATAATGAAGGGATCTTGCAACATGCCCATTCAAAATTTGAATTGTGGAAAGATAAACATACCTCCTTATTTGGGAGGTCTCTTGTAATTAACAATGTGGTCTTGGCCTCCATTTGGTATAAATTTGTGTTATGGGCCCTAGATAAATTGACTCTCAAAATTTTGCAGCGTCAACTGGCAGCTTTTTTGTGGCATGGGAACCATGAGCAGGAAAATGTCATCAGCAGAGTAGCATGGTTATCAATAATCCAACCTAAGTCTATGGGTGGCCTTGGGATCATTGATCCTCATACCCAAGCTATAGCACTTTCTCTTCAATGGATTAAATGTCTCTTACTTAACCCCCTCACTCCTTGGAACCCCCTCGCCTGTGAGCAGATTAGGAGGTTAGAACCTACTTCGGCCGAGACAGACCCGCTTATGTGCCTAGAAAATCAATCCTAGTCTCTTCCAAGGGGCAGCCCCGTGGATCTACATTGCTTAGATCTTTCAGATAGACAAGCGGTCAGGAGCGACCTCTGTAGAGATCCCTTTTGGGGCACATTGTTGAAAAACTGGAGGAAACTGCCCCTGCCAGATAAAATACCACCGGCGAGATGGGAAGAGGTTTGTCAACAACCCTTATTTAATAATACATTTATCAAAGATTCTCAAGGATGTGTTCTCCACTAAATGGGTCCACTAAATGGATACCCCTTGGCTTGGTTGGATTCGGAGAGGAATTGTACGTATTAAGGATCTTTGGAATCAAGAAACTAGAGATTGGTTCTCATCCTTAGACCTTCAGGAACGACTGCGCTATAGTCATCATCAGAGGATCGCTTTGGATAATATCATTGATTTAATTCCTTTGGACTGGGTTAGAATCTTAAGGAAAGGGCCTAAGTTCCTCCCTGGTGACTGGGTGGCAATTCACAGTCTTAAGGGGATAGTGGGGAATATAATTGAGACCCGTAATCCAGAGGATATTCTAATTTCTATTCTTGATTTGCAAGAGGATGGATTTCTTGTTCCCAAAACTCATGATGATACTAGGTGGTGTACGGCTGACCAGCTTTTCCGGGTTAGAGTATTAAAAGTCAATGATAAATGACTCTCCTTTAAACCAAAAATACCAATATCTCATCTACCCTTTGACCCACTGAATTTGACCTGGTCTTGCCCAGGTAAACAGGGACGCTCCTACTCTAGATCCTTACATACTTTATCTGTGAAGTCCACCTATAGAATGCTTCGCCCCAGGGTAAATCTTAGAGACCGCATTGAAGATCGTTGGATGAAGAATCTGAAGATCAGCAAGGAAGAACTAAGAGGGGTTAAGTGGTTTCATACCTGTAAAGCTAAGCCTGCTAAGGTAGCCTCCTTGCAATGACAAATAAATCACCGCTGGCTCCCTACTAATGACTGGATTATTGACAGAACCTCATTAGAACAGAAAGGCGTCGCTCATCCATGGTGTAAGTTCTGTAGATCAGCCTTCCCATCCAAGCTCTTTCCTGAAACAATTGAGCATATTTTTCTCCAATGCTCAGGATAGGTCTGGCTTTGGCGTTGGTGGGATAGGATTGGAGTCAGTTGGGAACCACCCTCCCCTGGCCGTGGGAATGGAAAGCTCTTCTCCTGGAATTCTGGCATCCGGATCAAGTGGATGAGTTCACTGATAATTTGTTCATAATTGGTAGAAGAGCAATCATTTGGGCAATATGGGTTAGAAGGTGTACCTATGAAATGGAAGGTGCCCGACTGGATGGCCCAGAGTTCACTGATTCTATCAAACAACATATTCAAACAGATATTACTATTAAATGGGAAAAATTAAAAGAAAAAATTCATCATCTTTCATTACAGGGTTGGGGGAGACCAGGGAGGGAGGTTGGGGCGGGTGCTGTGGGAAGGTGCACATGAGAATTCACAAGGACCTTTTCAAAGGAATTATAGATTAGTCTTCAATGATTGGAGTTCTGTTGATCCCACTATTCCACTAAGACCATTGTCCGACTTCCGTGATCCCTTTTCCCTACCAGGGTCTTGTCTGGTTCCCTCTTCGTGGTATGGGTAAGCTCATAGGTACGTCCCATTTGGTCTATACTGTCATAGTCCTTTTTTTCGGGTTCTGTGCTTGGTAGTCACGAGTTCTGGCGCCCAGGTTGGGCGAAGAGGCGCAAAGTTACTATTCTCAGATCTCATGGGGGACGCTGCACCCGTTTGCAGCAAATTGTCTCAGTTGTTTTATTTGTATCGAAAGGGATGCTGGACCCGCTTTCCAGCAGGTGTAGCTCCCCACCAATAGATCGGAGCCCCCCGTAAGATAGGTAGGAGTGTATGCTCATATCATCACTTCTATCTGTCGAGAAGGGGGTTTTCTTTAAAAAAAAAGAAAAAAAAAAGCCCTACCTGTAAACCAGCCCTCCTTCAAGACTTGTTATGCGAGGATCACATTGGAGAAGATCTGGTGACTGGATGCAAATCATGTCTGAGTCGTGTCTATAATGCGCAGCAGGATGTCCTTGAGGCAGTTGGCCATTACCTTAGCCAAGATCTTACATAGTGCGTTGAGGATGGATATCGGTCGCCAATTTCGAACATCCGACTTCGGCCCTTTCTTGTATAAGAGGATAATATATGCATCCACAAATCCTTGAGGCAGGGTGTCGGACCTAAGTGCTTCGTTATAGGCCGTTGTCAATAGGACAATAAAGAAGTTACAAAAGTCCTTATACAGCTCTACCGACATCCCGTCCTTACCAGGCGCTTTAAGGCGGGGGAGTTCTGCAGTTTCTTTCTACACCTCTTTCGACTTGACATCCTCCTCTAGCACACATGAACTTCCGAGATCTAGTCTGCGTTGGACGTGACTCCACACTTCCTGTTCCGGTTGTTTGGCCATCTGTGCCGGTGGCCAGGTTTCCTCCTCTGTAAGTAGTTGGCGATAGAAGTTTGTAACGTACTTCAAAATTCCCCTTGTGGTCCTTGTGGTCCTGTGCGTCCCCTGCTGTTCGTCAAATGGATGTGCCATCTCCGTCGTTAGCAACACCCCCTTGCGCACACTCATCGTAGCAAAAAAAAAAATTGACATTCTTTCCCCCACCACTATCCATAATTCCTTTGTTCCCCTCCCCCATTTGAGCACTTCTTCTCTTTGCCATTCCCTCAATCCTCTGGCTGCCTCCATCCTTTCCGCCCACCATTCATCCGTTGTTTGCTCCCTAATCTGACCCCCATTTAACTCTTTCAGTTTATGCATGTATTATTCACCCATTCGCTGGTGGGCTAAGTAGCTGCAACACAGGTGCTTTAACAATATTGCCTGCAAGTCTTGGGTCGCCGTAGCCACATGTTCCAGCAGTTCTTCTTGTGGGCACTACTGTACTCAGTGCTCCCAAAATTGTGCGACCAGCAGCCTGAACTCTACGCTTTTGAACACCCATTTCGGGATGTCCCATCTCCAGTTTACCCACGGGATAAGTTACTATCACCGCATAGTGGCCTGACACGACCACTGGACTAGTTTGTATCTGCTCCAGTGTGTCATTGAGCGCTGAGGTCGCCCATATCATGTCAATTTTGCTTCTTCTGGACGTTGTGTTTCCCCAGAACGTGCAGGACTTGTCTTGCGGGTACAGGGTCCTATACGCATCCGTACACCCTAAGCTTATCATGCTGTTGAGAAGCGTCAGCAAGCCAGCGTCTAGATTCCTGGTCGATGCTGCATCCAACAGCGGATCGGTAATGGAGTTATAATCCCCTGTTATGATGGTTTTTTCCACGTCCGGCACCAATGTCGGCAGCCTTTCCCACAACCTTTGTCGTGCACCAATCTCCTTCGGGCCGTACACCGTGACAACCCCCCACACCTCTTCCCCCCACTGAAGGACCAGCCACGTCCATCGTCCCCTTGAATCGTGATACTTGTCTTTTACCTCTCCTCTGAAGTGGGGGGATACGAAGATACACACTCCTCCCTTCGTACCCTGTGCCGGTGCCCATACCTGGTGACCCGTCCACCATAACGTCGGCGTGGCCGTCTTTTGCTCAGACAGTTTAGTCTCCTGCAGGCACACCATGTCAATCCGCTCTTTTTTTATTATTTTAAATCCGCTCTGATTTCACCTTTCCAGCCAACTCTCTTCGTTTGGGCAGCAACGATCGGGTCCCCAGGCCTCTAACGGTCCATGTCAGAATACACAACCGATTGCATTGTCTATTCCCGGACATATCTACCCCGCCCCCCCCACCCCCCACCTATTCCCCCATGTGAGTCCTATATAGACTATGTCACTCTCCCCACACTTACCTCTGTTTATGCTGATGGAGGTGTCACCTTCTCATGACACCCTATAGGATAATATAGCCTCCCCACCCTTACTCCCCCCGTTCGCGTATCCCTGTTCCTTGTAAGAACTGCTCTTGGCCAACCTGCTCCTCCAGCGGTAGCCTTGCATTAAAGCTATTGGGAATAGCAAGGGAGGTCGTGTGTACAATTCGGAAGTTTCGAGGAAGCGCCGTGGGCCCAACGGTCTCCGTAAAGTTCACCCATTGCAAACTGATGAACCTCATTCTCGGGGTACCTGGCTTCTTAAGAATAATCTCCACAAAGTATATAATGACTGCATACTCCTTCCCTTCCGGTGTTCGCCGGATGAACCTCATCGCATGACTTCATACTTCGAGCCGTTCCATCACTTCACGTTACTGAGAACACACTGCTCCACTGGGAGCTTGTTGACACTGAAGATCGGTACCTCTGTCACTCCGTCCATCAACATTTGAATTCCTTGTACTGTTCGCCAGAAAACGATGGGACAGATGTAGCATTCCCCCTCCCTCAAGATGGCCTTCAGTCCCGTTTCCGCTTGTTCTTGTCGTGCCAGCTCGCTTAGCAGGTTCTGCTGCTGTCCTTCTTGGTGTTGGTTCTCCTCTGCCCCCCCCCTACCTTGTACCGATTCGTCCCCGGATGTTGCCTCTTGCTGCTTGCTTTGCTGCCGTCGACTGTCGTGTTCTTCCTCAACTGCATGCACAGGTTCCGTCCCTGATACCTCCTCTTGCTGCCCGGATTGCTGATCTTCTTCCTGTTCCTTCTTACTGTCCAACTCCCCCTTGTGACTCTCGTCTTCTTCCCGATCTTCTTCAAGCTGTGTTCCCAATTGCTCAAACTTCGAGGAGTCAATTTCAGACGATGTCGAGTTGTCGTCATCTTCTCAGCTTCTTTGCATCCCCACCACCGGCAGACCGTAACTTCAATCTCTCGATATGGGGGAGGCTGAGGGGGATGGCGATTCATCCCTTCGGCCTCGTAGCCAGTACCTCGGTCCCAGGCCCTTCCCCTCCATAGGGTCCGTTCCCTCTCTGAGTCACGTATGTGGTGCTTTAAGTGCTACTGTCTAGTGTGCGTTCTCCCGGAGGATTCCACCGTGGCAGATGAGTAGGTCAGGACCTGGAGGCACTCCTGAGTCGGCTGATGAGGATCCTTTACGCGGCCCCTTCGTTGTATTCCTCCCTCCGCTGGCTCCTTCGGCAACAGCCCGTGTTTATCCCCTTCGATTATGATCTGCGGGTCATACACCTGCTGCCCTTGAGTATCCATCTTGTCCTTCTTAGTCCTCGTCCATTCCCATACATGCCATTACTTCCATTTCATCAGTGTTTCCTTCGTCCCCCTACTCTCTCCGTCGGTCTGCAGCCTTTAACTGACTGTCCTTCCTTACACTTCCCCCTCCAACTGCCGGCTCTGCTTCCCTTAGGCTCATTTCTCATTCTTCCCCTCCATCCACTGCCAGACTACTCCCCAGGTCAGCTACTCCCCCTTCCTCTCCTTGTACATATGGTTGCCACCCCTTGCTCACCTTTCCCCTCCTCTGCTTGACTCTGTTCTCCCATCTGTCTCCCCTGCCGACTACTACTCCCCCCTTGCTCCCAGCCTCCCCGATCCTGGGCTGTTGCTCCGCACTTTCATCCTTCCCTCCCAATTCGGGTTCGGTGAAGTGAGCCTCCCAATTCCGTTGTCGCTCTGCCAGCTTCTCTACCTACAGCTCCGCTGGCGATTTCCATGGGAGGAGGCTCACTTCACTGCATACCCCCGCCAGCTGCACCTCCTCCACTCGCTGCTCGTTGATTAACCAACCCCTCAGCTCCACTGTTGGCACCACATATCTCCCTCCATATCCACCTCCCCTCGACTTGGCCCTCTTCTCAACATCCATGTTTCTTCTACCCTCTTAATCCAGTCCGGTTTCGTCTTGCGGGACCAAGTACTCACTCCCTCAGGTAACTTGCATGTGACCGTGTGTGCCCTGGTGTAGGTGTTCTACAGGTACATCACCTCATTACTAGCACGCCTTGTCGTACAGGCCCCATTGACCATCGCACACTCCACTAGGCCCGGGCCGTCAATAGACATATGTATGAGGCGTATCCTCTCCTGTTGCAATTGCTCCATTTTTGTTTCTTTTTGTTCCCCTATACTGGTTGCACTTCTTTCCCACCTCCACTGGCCGATGCTTCACCCGCTCTTACCGGAGGTTTGCCTACCCGAGCGCTTCAAAGAAGAACTCCTCACTTACCTGCGAGTTCGGCTGGTACCCGAAGCCTGCCAATGAATCACCGTATTCTTTGGCCACAGGCATAGCGGGGAGGGCTCTGGAGTTGCTTCACTTGCCTTCCTGCGTGGACTTCTCCTTCCTTTGATCCCCCCCCCAAGCGGTCCAAACCAAATCCCATCCCCCACCTCCCCTCTATCCTCCCCCCCCCTAGTTAGCTCCCTTCCTTAATCCCCTCATCAAGCGTCTCCCCATGTAGACTATAATCCAGTTCCTTCTCATCACCGCTTCCCACTTCACATCTGTCATCCCTATCTCCCCGGGCATAACCGTTGACTCCGGCAGCACCCTTCTCACACCCTTTGCCAACTCCCCTCAATAGCCAGTCACCGGCCCTATCGATGCGCGCTGATCTCCCCGGTCAACGGTCTTCACCGCATCCTATGGTCATCGCTTACAGTCTGCACCCTCCATTTATCCCGCAGCGGCCACATCCATCCTTCCCCTATTTCCAGGCAACTAATCCCGTAGACCCCAACACCCTATCCAAACCTACCTCCTCTACTCCCCGTTGACTCCTCACCCCCCTCTTTCTCTCGCCCTCTCTCATTCGGACGTGTCGTGCAGTCCCCCAGGAAGAGATGCGGCAACCTGTCGTGCGTCCCAAACCCTAGCCTACACTTGAGGCAGAAAGGCCGGTAATGGTGAATGTATATAACCTAGGTTTCGAGTCCGGTGGGGTCAGGTGGGTGTGTGTTGTGTTAGCCGGATTGAATTCCCTGAAGCGCATTTTCAAACTGTTTTTGTGACTGCGCCGAAGTTACCCCAAAAAGAACAGAAAAAGGGAAGAAAAGAAAAGAAAAGATTGCTGTGTCTCCAGGGGATTGACTGCCAGTGAAGATCAACCAATTCACTTGAACATCTATTTTCTTTTTCTTTTTTTTTCTTTTTTTTTTTTAAGGCTAATTCTTTAAGCCCAACCAATTCAATTACCTGTCAAATCTGGACAGGACGGCCTTTCAGGCCTCTTTTATTGTCATTATAGTATTACGGGGAACCCCGTAGCAGCCACATCCGTGCTCAAGCCTCTAGCGAGGGAACATGCGGGAGCTGCACCCACCAGCAGGTGCGATACCTTTTGAACTACTTGAACATGAATGATGACTGTGATAAAATATGACTAATAATAAAATCCAAGTTGATATCTCCCACTCTTGTCTTTGCGTGCCAGAGGGAAGACTTCACCGCCTGCCTGCCTGCAGTTTGCAACATTTAGGAGGGTCTGTCTGCCAAGGCAGACACGAAGGAAGCATTCCATAGCTATCCCTTCACTCGGCCACACCCCTCACAAGACTTCATCCAGGGTATCTATGTATGGGTAGGCCCCACGGATGCTAAGTTAAGGCCAACAAAACACAAATCGGCCTGTTTATGTTGCACCACAAACATAACACTAGTGGCGCACCGGACCGGGTACACTATTTTCCTCAGCCTATAGCTGGGGCTATTTGGCTTAGTGCCTGCTTAGCATGTGGGATTAGGCTGTAGGCCTGATCTCACAGGCCATATGTTAGTCCAGTCCGGTACCGCCGTGGGTACCAGTCCAGTCAGTCCACTGTGGGTATAGCCCCGCTGCAGTCTTTGTTTTCCTTATTCTTGATTGTGAGTCTTTGAAATATGTGTGTACGGTATGAGTGTGAGGTGTGTGTGTTGTGTACTGTCTTCTCCATCTTGACAGTGTCCATCTCCACCGCCATCTCCACCCTTCTCTCCCTCTGCACCTGAGCAGGACCATCCAGGCAGATACGCTCCAAGTGGGGCCTACCCTGCTATATACGCCCTTGCATTGCTGTCGAGGATGCTAATGGCGTAGCTCTGCAGGGTCCCGTGCTAGAGAGATGCTGGGTCTGCTCCCGTCTTCAAGCAAGTGCACCAGCAGGATCGGAACATGCTTTATCTCACACATGCAACTTCACCGGTATACTACACCCTTCTGTGCACATCTGAAAGTTCTTCACTGATGAAATTATGGATGCATAAAACCGTGCACAGGCAGGCTGGTACATCCAGAGTGTGGCCCCTTTGGCTCCGATACAGGCTGTTTGACAAATGAGCTAGTCAGCACATATGCAGCAAACACCGTGTTCCCCTAGAGTACAGCTGGCCTCAAACTTCAGAGACAAGTTTTTAAACCACCAGTACCGGACAGGCGATTTTCTCCTGGAGAGAATTTTCCCACACAGCACATATTGGACCTGCTGCAGGCGTGCGGGTACATCGAAATCCAGAGTGTTGCCAGGTATACAGTACTATACACCCGTAAGGTTGGGACTCGGGAGGAGAAGTCTCTGTGCCGGTGGTAATAAAATTGCCCACAACACTCCAAATGGCAGGTGAATGTACAGCTGGCCATACGAAAAGGATTGGCAGCAGGAGGCCTAGAGAGATGTTCTGTCTGCAACTGTCAATGACAATTCCTGAAAAAGGAGGACATGTGAAAGAGATGGACTGGGTATCTTTGTCCGCATAAAACGAGACATGAATCAGTGGACATCATACTCTGAAAAGCAGTCCAAAAAAATGAGGGCCTTGGCACTCAGAGAGTGTTTCTGAGGAACAGGCCCTACTGGTGCTGTTTCGGTGCTCAGCAAGCATGGACCTGCATTGGGGGTAATAGCAGCCAGGCTCCTGCTTTCCTCGCATGAACACCTGACCCTAATGCCCAAGCCCTAATGGTACCAGGCCTGCTTGTGCTATGTCCACACTCAGAAATAATGAAACAATTTTTGAAGATGACCGGTATCATGCCGTCTAACATCGAGCATACCTTCCCTGAGGTCCTAGGTGCAGGTTCCACTCATGCTTTGTCCTGCCAGTGGGCGATTTAGCAACCAGTGCCCGGCTTCCCAAGAATGAACCCTTGTGCTACAGTCAAAATCACACCAAGGGGAAAGTCCCAATTTCATGGAAACTTTAAACCACCAGTACTACGTTTCTACGAGGAGACAGTGCCCCCGGTGTCTGACGGGATGTACCGGCCTGCCGGTTCACAACGAAATCATCCAGGCAAGATGGGTCATGTGCATGGTGCGTTTTGCCAGATGTGGTTTGGGCATTGCCACATTGTAGAGAAATGGCTGGTAAAAGTACTGGTGGATTAAACCACCAGTACTTCCCACAGTCGTGGCTCGTTAACGGCCGCGACTTTAGGGATGAACGCGCCTGGGCCGCTAGTACAAATTCAGTCAAGTGGAAAAGTCTCCGTTTTTTCTTTTGGCTGGCCGTTAACGACGCGCGGTTCTCGGAAGTACTGGTGGTTTAACTCTGGACTACAAGGTACAAGGCAATGGCCTGGTTTTGCGTAACAGTGATGCATACCCCAGCGATGAAATTCAGGGACAAAAAAAAAAAAAAAAAAAAAAAAAAAAAGAAGAAGAAAGTCAGGGATGCAAGAACCAAGGATGGATATATCCAGCGAGGGCGGGGGTTCAATGACCCCACACTGACCAGCGTTTCACAGCAGACAAGTCACGCGCTTCATGACATGAGCGTATAAAGCAAACACATGATGTGAGAACTTCAAACATTGGAAGTCTTACACGATGAGTTTTCTTGTACAAGTTGGATGGTTATGACCGTCTGCAAAAACAATAAAGAATGAAGTCCTTTCCCTTCTCTCTCCCTCACTCACTCCACCCTCAGGCCTGTCCTCTCGGAATGTCTTCCTCGTCAAACCCTCACTCAACTACAGCTATGGCGCGGCATTGGTGCCCAGTACCTGCCGACTACAGCTACACATTCCATGCTCCAGCCACACTGGAAGTACACACAAGTTCAAAAAGATCTTGACGTACCGCTGTCAGACCTTGGTATGGGATGCTTCAGTCGCCCTACCTCAGACTTTTTGGATTCAATACCCCTACTTGATGGGCCGCTGTACCTCTTTGACACATCCAGCTTGGGCCGCTGACTGGACTGGACTACAATTGGACTGTATGGACTGTAGTGGACCCACAGCCTAGCACCGGATCTACTGGACTCAGTGGACTGTACTGGATCGACTTACCTATCTAGTGCACTAGGACTTAAGAGAGGCGGTTAACGGAGGCCTCAATTTTCAGACAGCTTCTCATGCCATTTATAACAAAACGCAAGGGTCATTTTAACCAAACTTGCCACCAATTCATAGGTTGGAGATCATAGTACTAACTACTTACCCAAAAAAAAAAAAACAAAAAAAAAAACTATAAAACAGCAAGGCCAAAGTGCACTTTCATGAAATTTCACCAACATTCCAATTTCAGAAATCTTGAGAAATTCCAGAAATCTCATCACAGGAAATTCCAATGGCCCAAATGGTACCAAATTTGGCACACATCAACCTTAAACCGCCAGTACCTTTCCCAGGCAAAAGGAAAAGGCCCGGCGGTTAACACGGAGGCATCACCTGGGCCGGCGCGCCAGCCATATGCAGCTGGAAAACTCGGCACACAGGGCCCGCGGCCGAATATGGGAATGGTACTGGCGGTTTAAACCAAAACAAAAACAATAAAATTTGACCCCCAAACCCTAATTTCAGTTCTGGACCCGTTAGTCAGGAGCTGAAAGTGGGGGTCCCCATTAACCACTTGTGGGACTTATGGTAAATGGGACTTGGAACCTTGGGACGAGAACTGGGACAAACGGTGACCTAAAACCGAGGTCCTCCAAGCAAACTATGATGTTTATCCCCTGTCTGTGTGATTTGGATGCTCCTCAGAGTCTGTGCTTGCTCATATTGTGAAACTAGTCAGGGACAGTCTCTTTCAAGTCAGCTTTGGCGAAACATCTATCGTCTTCTAGTTCTCGGTACTGAAATCAAGCTTTATATTCCCTATGTGGTTTCCCCATTCTTCCTGCCCGTATATGTCCTCATCAACTATGTGCTCAATATCGTACTTACCATCCATTCATCAATCTGCATGAGGGGAACATTATGTACGTTAGCAAACACATAGTAACTAAGATGCAAGAAGCACAGGGTAAGTCCATAGAGGGGAACACATAAAAGGGTAAGTCCACAGAGGGGAACACATAAAAGGGTAAGTCCATAGAGGGGAACACATAAAAGGGTGAGTCCATAGAGGGGAACACATAAAAGGGTAAGTCCATAGAGGGGAACACATAAAAGGGTAAGTCCATAGAGGGGAACACATACCTTCCTTTGGTACAACTTCTTCCAACGCGACCCAGAGTAAATCGCCAAGAATGAACCGTGACGGACTTCAATGTTTGTTAGTCAGTTGTTAGCTTGCTCAATGATCGTCTTTTCTTGGGCATGTTTGATATATTATCAGCTACTTTCTGAAGGTCTTCTCATAAGTTTAAACATCCACGTTGAACTTCCGGGTGGTAGTCTCTCTGATCCAGATTAAGACATCCTTTGACCTATGTGGCTCTTTTTTTTTTTTTTGGGGGGGGGGGRGAAAGAGCTCCAATCTATTCGTGGGGAGCAACACGTGCTGGGAACCGGGCCCAGCCTATGTGGCTCACACCCTTTGTGTAGCTCATTTGGCGTTCTACCTGCGGGGAGTCCATTGCGTTGCTATATATAGTGATCACTACCTTTAGTAACTGGTCATCCCGATCCCTCTGATTTTGGCTAACGTACATATTATGGAGGGTTTGCTGCCGTGGTTTATTCATCTGTTTGGTTTGATCGTTTGTTTCTAGGTTTCTACCTGACAACATCGGCATCTGTGAATTGGGCATCTTCATCAACTGCTGTCACTGCTCACCCATGAATTTGACATCTCTATCACCAACTATAGAGGGTGGGCCCCCATTGTAAAGAAAATCATCAATGACAAGGTATGACCTTTACTGAAACGGTCTACTATTGACTTGACTGCTCCCTCTACTACTGAACCTTGTGTCTATTCTCGACGTTCATAGGGAATAGGAACCGGTTTCAGCAGTACTTGGCCCAGCTATCGGCCGCGGAAAAAAATAGAGTAGAAACGTTTCTAGTCGGATGAATTTGGGCGCTCTTGTAGTAGCCCGTACGTTTCCTAAAATCGTGGCGCGTTAATGGGCACGACTCTAGGAAGTACTGGTGGTTTAATGGTGGTTGTGTTGTTGTACTATTGTCGTGTTGACACAACTTGACAAACTTTAAGTTCTTTTTTCTTTTCTTTTCTTTTTATAAAAAAAAAGAAAAAAAAAAAGAAAGAGTTCCCGCCAGAGTGGTGTTGATAAGAGCAGGCACCACTAGCACCTGGGGAGAGGCTCCATCTATTGGTGGGGAGCATCACCTGCTGGAAAACGGGTCCAGCGTTCCATATACAGAGTATTACAGACTGAATTTGGAGTGTGTACCTAATGCAATTTGCGTTCATCCCATTAACGGCCATTTTGTTAAATTTAACAAAATGTTTCGATTGCACGAAAAGACAGTCAAATTTGAGGTGGTTTGGGGGGGGGATTTGCACAGCTGTAATTAGTACTGTTAAGTTAAACAACCAGTACTTGGCCCAGCCATCGGTCGTGGCGCTTTCCCGTTAATGTGCCGCGCCTTTAGGGCTTCGGGGTACCGGACCACAATGGCTGGAAGCGCCAGCCAAAAAAAAATTGAAACGGTACCCCGGCGCTTCGGCAAAAATTGGCGCGCAAGGGCATTTCAGGCTTGACATCGATAGCTGGGCCAAGTACTGGTGGTTTAAGGTTTTGTTTTCCCAGATCTTCGTATGAATGTCATAAGCAATAGGGAATTGAATGATCAGTACATCTTCTAGGTCAAATAGAAGGTAGGATTGCTGAACCTATATACTAATACAGTACTTGTAGCGGACCCACCAGGTGTGGTGCTCCGCTAGTGATAGAGATGGAGATGGAGGAAGAAAGGGGGAGCAAGATGCACAGCGCAGCTCCCACGCAAGACTCCAACGCACGTACTCCAAAATCGTGCAAGTGTAGAATGAGGACGAAAACAGACAACTGTTGGGGTATACCCCAGCGGACTGACTGGACTGGACTGGTCTGGCTGGTACCGACAGAGGTACCGGCCTGGACTGGACTGAACTGCCCCCGAATAGAACACAGGCCTGTGAGAACAGGCCAAGGGGCTGGTCTCACAGGCCAACCAGAGGTCCGCTACACGATCCTCGACCTGTGATGGGTCGCCTAGATGCAAACACGCTTCCGCCAAGAAGCGGAACTCTACCAAAGAAAAAGAAAATCTGAGTAGTCTAGGATGCGGAGCAAGCTCCATGCTGAGTCTATGCGATGCAACCGAGGATAGAAAATGTCACAAAATAGCAATGTCACAGCTAACAGCGTGAAAGCAGAAGCAACTAACTAGTATACATGTCCTAGGAAAGCAGAAGCAACTAACTACCATACATGTCCTAGGAAAGCAGAAAGTAGTGACAACTAGATCCTAGAATGTTGGAGGCAGTAGCCTCAATCTGGGAACAACTGACTAGTGTATAAGTCCTAAGAACAGCAAAAGCAGAACAGCTAAATCATAGAAATGTCAGAGGCAGTAGCCTCAGTCTGAGAGCAATAAAGCAACAACAAGTCACCCATATGTCACAGGAGAAATGTGTCGCAAACCAAAGGGTGGGATGGTCTCTGAGGGTGGCGAATGCAGCCTAGGGGTCGAAAACTCCTAAGGGCATCCACACATAATGATAGGGGAAACACATGTCATCAGGCTCAATGAGGGTAGGGAACTGGGAGCGAACAGAACCAATGACCCTAACAGATAGACCATCAGGGCGGGTAATGCTCGACTAAGGGGTGACCGCTCTGGAGGGTCGACCATGCAAGGGAACAAGGGAGCCTGGTATACTGGGCACACCTAGATGAAGCATGCGGGGCTGCCTAACTACGGTGTGAGGGTCGGCAAAGGGTAGAAAGATGATGGGTAAGGGAATCATGCAAATGAGTCATAAAGTGAGGGAAGTCGGAGCTAGATCCATAAGATGGGAAGCCAGGGCAACGCTACGGTCTCGATGCCTATGCGTATACCAAGGGAGAGCCCAACTTAGAGGAACCCGGCTAAAGGGAGACCATCATGCGACACAAGCAGGGTACTGTACAGGGCAAAGTGGTAAGAGAGTGGCGACGTCTGAAGTAGGCAGAGCTGATCGTGACGAAGTCCATGAAGCTGCCGATGACGTCCACGATGAGAAGTCCGGAATGTCGTCGAGGAAGAGCCGCAACGTCGACAAGCTGAAGTAGCAAAACTGGAGTGGATGGAATACTGAGAAGTCAAAGACGTGGGAAGGTAAGTCATAGTCAATCATCGTATCGAGCAGGACGACGACGAGTGCGTTGTGGACGCTTAGAAGCATCCGGCTGCTGCTGAAGGTCTGCCTCAGATGAAGCAGGCTCAACTTCAGCGGTCTCCTCAACCAGGGGATAGGGAGTAGGGTCAGTGGGCTGAGGAGGAGCAGTGAACCCAGCACGACGAGCAAGGTCATAGGCACACACCAACATGCGAGCGTGCTGCAAGTGCTCGAGGGGCTCACAGGTAGCCTCCTCATCAGGGTAACCCTTCCAACGTACGAGATACTCGACGTGGGGAGGGTTGTCATTGGTGACTCGGCGACCAATGATGTCTGAAACGAGGAACTTCTCATGGCCGTCCACCATGATGGGTGGAGGGCGCTCGTAAGGTCGTCCAGCGAAACGCTCAGACGGTCTGCGATAAGGACGCAGTAGCGAGATGTGGTATACATCGTGCACATGAGTCTGGTGTAGGTAGTCTGGCACCTTCACACGGAAGCTGACCGGGCTAGAAGCCGTATCAGAATCGACGGCCTAGAGGATGCGGCATGGGCCAAAGAAGCGACTCCGAAACTTGCGAAGCGTGTCCGCTTCGAGCTGTAAGTGGTGAGCGTCGATAAGCACATCATCACCGACTTTGAATGAATGATTCATCCTCGATCGGTTCGCACGTGCTGCCATGCGAGTCTGGGAAGCGGCTATGTGCTCATGTGCGGTCTTCATGATCGACGTCATGTGTGCAACCCAATCATCCAGCGCGGGACAACTCGTGTTGGGGTGCATTTGTGACGGTCGAAGGCAGTCCGCGAGAACACGAGGGTGATAGCCGAGGTCGCAATAGTAAGGCGACATCCCCGTGGCTGGCGATACGGCGTGGTTGTAGGCTATCTCCGCGTGGGCAAGATGGAGATCCCACTGCTGGTCGTCACGAACAATCTTTCGGAGAATATCTCCGAGAGTCCTGTTCGTGATCTCAGTCTGACCATCAGTCTGAGGATGGTAAGACGAGGAGAAGCGGAGCTGAGTGTCGTACACCTCGTGGAGCCGTCACCAGAATCGGCTGGTAAAGCGCGGGTCACGGTCAGATATGATGCTCAGAAGTAAGTCGTGGTCACGCACGACTTGGTCAAGCACGATGTCGGCGACCTTACGTGCACTGATGGCATAGCGGCACGGAACAAAGTGTGCACGCTTCGTGAAGCGGTCAACGACGACCAGGATAGCATCATGACGGCGAGGGGTCGGAGGACGAAGGGGACCGATAAAGTTCATCGAGATGGACTGCCAACGACCCTCAGAGATAAATAGAGGCTGGAGCAAACCATAAGGAAGGTGGTTCGCACTGTTCACCTGCTGACAGGTGGGACACTCTGCGACGCAGCCCTTCACAAAGTCCTTGCGCTTCAGAAAGACGTACAGACGGCTCACACGAGCCAACGTCTTGTGGAAGCCCATATGACCGGCGGCTGCCTGGTCATGGAACTCTGCTATTGCTCGGACACGTAGCTGTCCCGTGGAGGGAACGAAAATACGGGGGTCTCTGGTGCCCTGTGAACCGTGTCTGTACACAAGACCGTTATCCCTGAGAGAGTAGTTCGGGACGGTCTTGCCACTCCGAAGGGTCGCGTGGATGTCGGGATAGTCGGGGCAGTGGCAGTACTGAGTGCGAAACTCATCGACCACTGAGTGGTGGACAGTGGTGACCGAGATGGAAGAGAGCTGGATCTGCTCCTGGTCGTGGTCAGGGCGTCGGGATAAGGCATCTGCGACCCGATTAGTCTCACCCTTGATGTGCTCAGTGGTGAAACTAAACTCGGATAGGTCGCGCCACCGGCGAGCCTGTCGAGGAGTGAGCTTCGGCTTTGTCAGAAAAGCCTGGACAACAGAGTTATCCGTGCGCACCGTAAAGGGTGGCCCGTGCAGGTAGTGACGCCAGTGCCGAGCGACATAAACTACTGCAAGAACCTCACGTTCATCAGCAGTGTAGTTTATCTCGGCGGGCAGAAGCTGGCGGGAGTAGAAGGCTATTGGACAATCACCAGAGCGAGACTCGACAGTGCCGTCCTCGGCGATGGTAGGAGAATAGTCAATAGAAGGCTCGTCAGTAGCTGGACGAGTAGCCGTCAGTCGGGAAGCAGTGGTAGGGGTAGGTGGTGGGAAGCGAGGGATACGAGGATGAGAGGAATCAGGAGAGGAGGGGAAGACCTGAGAAAGCACTGCTCCTACAGCAAAGTCTGACGCATCGGTGGTAAGGATAAAAGGACGATCAAAATCGGGTAGGTGAAGAACCGATGCGCATGTCACCGCCTTCTTGAGGGCGTGGAAGGCGTCCTCGTGGAGGGGTGTCCAAGCCCTGGGTGGGTTCTTCCTGAGGAGGGTGGAGGTAAGGACGTAGGAATACCTAGCGTATCCCTGGATGAAATTATTATAGTAGTTGGTCAGGCCTAAGAAGCTACGAAGCTGCTTGGCGGATGTGGGAGCGGGCCACTCCGCAGTAGCAGTGATCTTCGCGTCGTCCATGTGGAGACCCTGGTCAGACACGTAGTGTCCTAAGAAATTCACTTTGTGCTAGGCAAAGCGGCACTTGCTCAACTTGGCGTAGAAGTCATGTCTGTGCAAGCGGTCAAGGACGTCGCGGAAGTGTCTGAGGTGCTCTATAGATTTTTTTGAATCAAAAATGCAAAGACTGGGGTAGAAGAACTCGAACCTCCGAATGACAGGGTCAAAACCCGTTGCCTCAAGCGTACGACTGTAGACCAGGATATCGTCGAGATAGACGAGAACGTACTGCTTCAGGATGTCCCTGAAGATGTCGTTCATCGCCTTCTAAAAGGTAGCGGGTGTGTTGGTGAGGCCGAATGGCATCACTGTGAACTCGTAGTGGCCGAAGCGCGATCGGAACGCTGTCTTCGGCTGGTCGGCTGCAGCGACGCTGATCTGATGGTAACTGCTACGAAGATCAATCTTCGTAAAGAAGCGGTTGCCTGCTAGGCGGTCGAACAACTCATTGGAACGAGGCATGGGGTAGCTGTTCTTAACCGTGTAGCGGTTGAGACCTCGATAGTCGATGCAGAGACGGAGAGTTTCATCCGCTTTGCAAGCAAAGAGGACAGGTGCACCCCACGGGGAGTTGCTGGGTTTAATGAAACCCAGTCTCAGGAGCTCCTCAAGCTGACACTTGAGTTCGGTGGCCTCGGGGATCGAGAGTCTGTAGGGTGTCTGGTGGTGAACACGATAGTGAGGCACAAGCTGGATGGAGTGCTCGACGTCGCGCATCGGTGGGATGTCAGCGTACGAGAACGACGATGGGAAAACGTCGTGGTACTCTCGAATGAGGTCACGAACTGCGGGCTCTAGGTTCGCTGTATATCGTGCGAGTTCCTCAGCGTTAGCGTCAGCGCGCGACGGCGGGGTGGACTCGACGGACGGCGGAGGGACGGAAGTAGAGATGAGAGTCATTGAGATAGAAGGAGGATCTGGCTCCATAGGGATGAGCTCGGCGTCGGGACAGGGTGGATCATAGTGTAAGAGATCCGTCACGTTCACCATAAAAAAGGTGACGTCGTCCTGTCGGATGAAGTGGGCGAACTGCCAAGGCGAGGTGACAGTGATAGAAGGATGTGGTGTGGGCACGGAAGGCTCCGGGGGAGGAGGATCGGAGCGTGGTGTCGTAGTGGTACCTATGAAAGGTACGCGATACGTCTGTCCACACTTCGTTTTGAGAACGAGCGTGTTGGTCGCCCAATCGGCCACGGAGTGCCGAGAATGAAGTCGTACCCCGTCTCCATCACATCGAAATGTGCAGAGGAGCGGTGGCGACGAGACGCCGGGGAACGATCAGTCGGTTCGAGAGTGAGGAAGAAAGGAAGGTCGGTAACCGTCTGATCGAAGAAGCACTGGGTCTTGTCATCCCCGAGGGTAACGGAGATGGGAGTCGGAGACCCTGTCGTGGGTAAGCGTGCTTCCTTCACCACAGTGGGTGAATGAAGTCGCCCTGAGAACCGGAATCCCACAGCGCTGAGTGCACCCTCGTTTAGGTCTCGAGTCGTACTGGGATGATCAGGAGGGTGCAATCAGGGTCAGAGAGGATGGGGAGGAGGCGACGCAGTGCAGCGACATGGAGGGTGAGAGGGCTGAGTACACTCTGTCGAGTCCTGCGATACCTCAGCTCCAGTAGCGAGAGGGGCGAACAGCGACAGAGATGTCGGGAAGCCCACTACTGAGGAGGGCGCAGGTGTACACTGCACCATGGCTAGGAGGTGCCGCGGGGATGAGAGGCGTCGAGGGAGGACTGAGAACGGCGCTGGCGGGAAAGGTCAGCGTAGTGGCGGTCGAGGGCGGTAGTGTAAGGGCACCGCGAGGAGGTATGACCGTCCAGGCGGCAACGCAAAACCCACGCCGGCGCAAAATAGTCGCGCGCTCCTCTGCGGAAAGGATACCGCGAGGAGGGACAAAGCCCTAAGGGAGGTCCTGCTGAGGGACTTCGGGGGGCGACGAGCCAGCGTGACCGGGGTGGCTGCGTGCCCGAGAAAGGGTGGAGAGGATGAGTTCGAGGCGCTCAGCCATAGGGAGAGTAAGGTCCTCCAGGTGGTGGTGGACGGCGTCGCCGAGGTCGAGGTCGGCGCTATGGTCACCCTCTGGTGACAGCGGGGCACCAGCGTCCTGCTCACCATAGTCGAGCGCGCTGAAACGGCGCGAGAAGTGGCGGCCCTGCTGCGTGGAATGGCGGGGGCGACCGCGGAAAGGGGAACGACGCTAGGAAGTGTCGTGAGAGGAGGAGGAGGAGTAGCCCGTGCGCTGAGGCTAGGAGGAGGAGGCGGGGTGAAGACGGGCCCGCATCCGCTGATGGTCCCTGGCGGCCTCGTAAGCCTGCGGGGCCGATGTGAACTCATACCGTCATAGCTCGGAGCGGTACTCGAGCGGAAGGCTGGCCAAGAAACGATCGATAAGGGCCGCCTCGGGGAGGAACGCCATGTTACAAATGAGGCGGGGGTCCTCAAAGACCTGGATATGGCGATCCAGGCCGACAGCGCCACCAGTGTCGGACCAGCATGTAGTGAAGACACGCTCGAAGGCGTCAGACACGTCGTATCGGGCTCCGAAGCGATCCTCGAGGAACGCCTGGAAATCCATGAAGGTCGGAGTCCGACCCGCACGAACGGAGTAAGCGTAGAAATTCTCCCAGGCGTCGGAAGGACCACCACGCAGGCGCTTGGAGAGGTTAGTCACCCACGTGTCGGGTGCGGCACCCATGAGCTGGAGCGTGCGGGTGGCATGCTGTAGCCACCGAGACACGCGTATGCCTGTATCGTCATACAAGGCAATGTCCGTCAAGCGGACGAGTGGTGCGCCACCGTTTTGGCGGCGAGGAGAACGGGAAGCAGGGGACTGCGCTACGGCTGAATAAGTCGGCGCAGGTCTTGGAGGAGGGGGCGCAACTGACTGTACGCCCGGGCCGCATGGTGGAGCGGCGGGGGGAACAGCGACAGGCTGCACGGGAGCTGCGGTAGAAGAGGTCGCAACAACCGGAGGAATAGGGAGGCGGTAGGATGGGGATGGGTAGGGTGCAGGGCGAGGGAAGCGAGCCTGCATGGGAGGAAGAGTAGAGAAAGAAGGGGGTGCGTCGGAAGGTGCGGCCACCTGTGAGGGTGGGGGAGGCTGAAGACGTGAGAGGGCGAGGTCAACCCGGAGTTGGGCAATCTCGTCCTCGAGACCTCGAACATAGGTCGAGCGAGGATTGGCAGGAGGAAGAGTGGAGGAAGTGGACGCACAAGCGGCGCGGGGCATCCCAAGGGGGGGAGAGCCAGGTGGCGCTGCGGTCGTGCGAATGGGAGGGAGAAGTGGGGCACCCGGAAAAGCTGCGACCATGGTAACAGGTTGTGGTACCGTAGCCGTAGTGGTCGGGATCTGGGCGGGTGCGCCCGTAGACTGAGGGAGGGTCTGACTCGTGGCGGCCGTCGAGCTAGGGGCGTGGACGATCACCAAGATGGTCGGGTCGGGGACAGTGGAGGAGGAAGCTCCGTCGTGGCCATCTTGTCGGAGGACGGGGGACCCGGACTGGGAGCGAGGAGATGGAGGGCAGGCAGCGTTCTGAAGTTGCTGCATGCCAGCGGCAAGGGTCGCCACCTGCGCCTGTAAGGGCGCGAGGGTCGCGAGTAGCGCCTAGATGGGTGCAAGGAGGGAGGTGAGGAGGGTGTGCAGATCCCCCTGGGCTGGTGGCCTTGGTCCGTCGCCACGGGTGTGGAGCCCTGTGCCGTGGTCGTCGTCGCGTCGGCGGCGTGTAACGCACCGTCAGCCATGGGGAGGTGACGGGCCGGACTAGAGGGGGCCAGGAGAGATCCGCGTGAGCGGAGGGCGTAGGGGGGGATCCGCGGTAGAAGGCGGCGGACGACGCTAGCAAGGCTAACGCGGGCGCCGTCAAAGGAGGAGGGGTGGTTCGGGTCCAGGGTGCCCGAATAGGAAGGGGAGTAGGGGGGGGGTTGAAGAACCCTAAACCCTAGAAAAACCCTAAGAAAACCCTAACCAAAGTTTGAGTGGTTAGGGTACGGTGTCGGTGACCTAATCAATAAAATAAAATAGCAAGCATAGGGGGAGGGAAGGCGGGAGAAAAAAAAATAAACAGCGAGATTTCGAGAGAAAATAAAAATAAATAAGAAAATAAATAAATAATAAAAATAATTACAGAAATAAGTAAAAAGATGTGAAGAGAAGAAACAATGTTTATTTTTTGAAATTTTCGGCAGCATTTCCTTACCCCCCATGGGGTCAAGAATGTGCCAAGGGGAAAGGAGAGACCAAGGTGAGCACGCTAGGTTTCAAGATGCCGTAAATCAAAAAAGAAATTTCAAAAAAAAATAAAGAAATAATAAATAAATAAATAAATAAGTAAATAAGTGGATGACGAGGGGGAATGAAATGGAGTATCTGATTTTTCAAAAATTTTGGCAGCATTTCGTTACCCCCATGGGGTCGAAGTGTGCTGAAAAGACTAAGTAAGAGAAAATCAGAAAATTTCGGCAGCACTTCGTTAGCCCCACGGGGTCAAAACGTGTGCCGAAAGCAAGAAAGACTAATACCTAATCAGATTTAGGGTTGCCATAAAGAAAATCAAATATTTAGGATAAATTAAAAAATAAATAAAATAAATCAGAAAATGAGAAAAGAAGGTGGTGAAGAAGATAATTCGAATTTTTTGGAAAAAAAATAAAAGATAAATCAAAAGGGAGATAGAAAGAAGAAAAACAGAAAAAATTTGAAGTAGGGGGGAAGGGGAATGAAAAAGTGAAGGAGAAAAAAAAGAAATTGGTGGGAGAGAAAAAAAAATGAAGTGGTGGGTAGGGGGATGGTGTGGTGGTAGTTGGGGGAGAGGAGGGATGGGGAAAGGTGGAGAGGGATCAAGAAGCAAAGAGAACAGAAGGAGGAAAGAAAAGAAAATAAATAAAGAAAAGAGAGTAAAATAATGGGTGGTGGGAGAAAAGGTGGGGTGGAGAGAGGGGTATGAATAAGAGGAGAGAGAGAAGAGGGAGGGGAGAGAGAGAAGTGATACCTGGCCCTTGGTGTCTCCAAGGGCACGAGGTATACCAAGACCAGGAGGGTCTTGGCCTTCGCTGCAGCAGCCAGCTGGAGGAGAGAGGGTGCTGAGATCTTGATCAGCCCCTAGCAGCACTTCTGCAGATCTGCAGATCTAGGGTCTGTTGTATGAGCAGACCCTCACCACTGTAAAGCAGCCCC